CAAGTTTAACATAACAGCAAATGTACAACGTTTCGACAAGGGTTTGTCATCATCAGGCACTTCGACAAAACCTTGTTGAAACGTTGTACATTTGCTGTTATGTTAAACTTGATATTTGTAGATATTTACAAAGCAAAGTAATCATTGTGTTGCTTATTAACCTATTGCCATGGGTATACTTTACTGTGCACAACACAAGGTTTTAATGTCTTACATTCAAAATTTTATTGAACTACTTTTTGTTTAAGTTATACAAATTAGAAAAGCATAAAATATTAGCTAATAATCCATATTTTAATAGTATACAAGTTTTAAGTTTTTAATTCTACAAGGCAATATTTAAATAAAACCTGAATTTCCACTAGTGTGACACACATGACACATTTTCTCTGCACATGTCATCATCCCTATTTTATCCACCATTCCTTGAAATTTACGAAATTAAATGTAATTACTCTCTATAAAATTGTTATTGCGCAGGTAAACCATCATTTTTATATTCTTCAATTTTGTTTGGTTACAGGGCTATCAAATAGAAAATCAGACTCCTCCTGCCATACCCATTTGTCACATCCTCTCTTTCACAATTTATTGATAGTTCTCTCTTACATTTCATTATATATTACCTATAACCAATAGAAAGTCAATGTTTTCATCTATCAAATGATGTATTATATAACGTTGTATTCTGCCACATTTCTCGCACTAGAGAAAATTCAGAGTTTTTAAAATATTGCCTTATGAAGTTAAGGACTTAAAACTTGCATACTATTAAAATATGATTTATTAACTAATATTTTATGCTATACTAATTGATACAACATAAACAAAAAGTAGTTTAATAAGATTTTGAAAGTAACTTGCAAAAATGCTGTAACATACACGGTTAGACCCACCTGTTTTGAAATGGTTAATACAAATATATAAGCTTACATTGCCAGTGGAACAGCTTTTTGTATCTGGTTTAGTCATTTATAAAAATAAAGCTGTAGGAAAGCTTTGATAATATATATATATAATTGATAAAGCTGAATTTTTTCTAGTTTTGGAGTTAGAAACATAATTTAACATCACTGTTCATAATTGTCTCCTTTAAAAATAAAATACATGTAAATTAAAAGCCTATTAAGCTTCTTCAAGTTGTTTTTACAGCAAAAAGCCATCAAGAAATTAATATATGAAACTTTTTCAAAGTAAGTTTTGGTAGGATAAAGTTGGCAAATACACTAAGTTGTTAGCTTCTTTAAATTTGCATATTCACATGTTAAACAATGTTTTTGTAAATCTATAAAACTATCGGCACAGAGAGAACTTTTACATATTGTTTTACTCTCATCACTTGATTTGGTATTAATTTGTTTCTAATATATGTAAATAAATAAATAACGGCCCGTCATGGCCAGGTGGTTATGGCACTCAACTCGCAATCTGAGGGTCGCGAGTACGAATCCCTGTCCCACCAAACATGCTCAATGTTTCAGCCCTGGGGCTTTATAATTTGACGATCAATCCCAATATACGTTGGTAAAAAGAGTAGCCCAAGAGTTGGTGGTGGGTGGTGATGACTAGCTGCCTTCCCTCTAGTCTTACACTGCTAAATTAGAGACGGTTAGCACAGATAGCCCTCATGTAGCTTTGTGCAAAATTCAAAACAAACAAACAAACAAATAACAGGGAATTTCAAGGTCTTATGTTTAATGAACTATTTAACCATATGTACATAGGTGGGGGTCAAAGTATGCATGCCATGACCTTATAGAGAGTGTCATTCAATGTGTTATTGTGTATTTGATGTCAGAGTTATCAACTATTCATTTGACTTTATACTGCTGATTTAGCAATAGTTCTTGGTAGAGGAGAGTAAATACCAGATATGGTATACAAGGATATTGAGAAAAACTATATATATGCATTTTGGAGGTTCCTGAGGTTATGCAAATACAATGTGCAAACTGCATGATAGAGAAAAGTATTTTTATTCTTCACATCACTTAACACTCAAACTTGTCAGAGTCTGAGTCAGACTGATGTTGTCAGTTCACAGACATATCTCAAATATAAATACTTTTGTAACACATCTGACTTTTGTATACAACATATTTGTACATTTTACTAAACTTGCCACATTTCATGTATATTCACTTATTAAACTTGGAATTATTGTCAACATTCTTTTCCCAATACAGAGTCGGTCCAGTAGAACAACCCCATGCAGCTTTGGTTAATTCAAAATTAGAATAGTAATGTGTAATAAAAAAAAGTATTTTAGGTTTGTATAAATTTTTGGGGTAGTGAGTAATTCTTTATTTCTGCAAGCTATAAACTGAAATTGATTGTACTCTACCAATTCACTTATTTGAGGGTGAATACATGAAGATATAATAATACACACAAAGCAAATATCAAAGACAGTTTTAACTCTGTATAGGAACGTGGTCATTTTAACAACCTTGTAACCATGAAAATATGCATACTATAACTGAATTTACAAAGTGTATCTTCATGAAATTTGCCAAGCTTTTAGTAAATATTACACACCCAGTGCACACAGAAAATCAGATTTCTTAATGATGTATATTTCCTGAAGATTTATTTTTGAATTTATAAAGCCTTTATTGAGTGAGACTGAGTGCAAAGTGATATTCTTGTTAAGACTAAAATACATTTTTCTGTCAGTTTTAATTTCGTTTTGCATAACCTCTAAAAACCCTTGAGTTAATATCAGTTTTCTTTTAATAAAACTTGAAATATTAAGCTATTTTCTCTACCCTGACACTAACTGTAGTGAAATCAACAGTGTAGAGTAAAATTAAAAGTTGAAAAATATCAAATAAGTGTAAATTTAATTGTTTTTCTCTGTCCAGAATGAATGCATATTGTGTCAGACAATTACACATTATTTATTCTTAACCCTATCCTCATGGGTTAAAGGCCATGTCATCCCATTTGTTGACTCGCATTCCAAATATTATTGAACTAATATTTTATGAATTTATGTAAATAAGTTTGGTATCAAATTGTAGATTATAATTCAAAATTTTATTATATATTATTTGATTTAAAAGTAATTATTAAAAAACATCTAAATATCAATTTTTGTGTGTCACATGGTATGTTGAATGCAGCATTGGTTCAAATCAGATGTTTGTGATGTCCAAATACAAAGTATATATTTTCCTACAAATTAGGAACTCAAATTACCAATATTGACAAGCTAGAATATCAAATAAGAACCTCTTATCTTTTCTATTTGCTGAGATATCAATACGTCTACTGAATCAAACGTAGTGGCTTCACCCTCTTCTTTCCATTTTTGAAAAGGCATGCTTATGTACATTTTCTTGTCTACGATGTGTGAATAACCAATCAAAGGCTCGGAATTTCCCCCTAGTGGCTTTCTCAGCATAATTGAATTATTCAGGCACCAAACTTATTCTTTTAAAACTTAGATTTGAAAAGGTAAGGTGAAACTTTAGTGAGCTCAAAATTTCATATTTTTTTATACCCAAATACAGCTTAGTTAGTAAGTTTGATAAACTGTAGTGGAATTCCATGGTATTGATATAGTAATTTATGAGTTTTGGTTATTCAAATGTATATAGAAAACTTTTAAAAAGTTATTTTATTTCACATCCTCCATGTGCAAATTTTGATAAGGCTTAGCAACCTACAGCCCAACAGCAAACATGTACAAAGTTCATAACTAGAAGATATAATTGTTTGCTATATTATTTATTTACTGTTCTTTGTTTTAAGAAAAATAAGTGTAAGAACTTATTTGTAAAAAGTAAAAATGTATCATTACTTAAATGTGACTATATTTTACAAAATACTAGTTCACTAAAACACAGCCAAGACAGGTCACTTTATAAAGGTCAGTTTTATATTCTTGGATACAGTAGCATGAGTGCATGTGTGTCCCGTCATTGTAACTTCTGTAATGTTAGCCAGGCATGCCTGAAAGGTCAAAATAGTAAATATATATATAAATGTATAGTGTTATGAGATTTAAGCTATTTTGACTAAACATTTGTGTTTTCCTGTTATAATTTGTAGTCATTCTAGAATGAATAAAACATAACTTATATTTGTCTCCTAATTTTTTATGGTGGTTACGAGATACAGCTTAGTTACTAAGTTTGATAAATTGTAGTGGAATTCCATGGTATTGATATAGTAATTTATGATTTTTGGTTATTTCAAATTCTTATATAAAACTTTTAAAAAGTTATTTCATTTCACATCCTCCATGTACAAACTTACTTGAAATATTTTCTTTTCAAATTAAGAAATAAAACTTGTATGATATTAAAAGTTGAATTATAAATTACATTTTGATGCCAAGCTTAATTGACATGCATTAATTGTAAAGTTGTTTAATTAAGTTTTAATTATAAACTTTGACCTACCCGAACTTGGAGAGTTAATAGATAAGTAATACCCTGAAATCAAACCCATGAAACAAATAATTGTAATCTGGAAGATAATTTTTCATGGATTTTATAACCCTTCATGAACACTCAATTCTGAATTGATTTTCTGACATGTACAATAAGTTATTATGTTAACTGTGTTTATGTTGAAACTAGATACATTTTCCTGAAAGTATAGTGAACATGCTTACTATTACTTAAACAGTTTGCTCTGTTATAACATCATGACTGTTTATGATAATATTGGTTCTGTATAATGACCATAATAGTTTATGAATGAACTATTTTTCTGTAGACTATTATATTGACCATGTTAATGAAGACACTGGGGAGTAAAAATACAATTATGGTTGGACTCTTCTTTGAAATGCTGCAGTTGATGTGGTATGGCTTTGGTTCTCAAAGATGGTAAGTTGATTATTGTATAATTCTCTCTTAATATTAGAAACTATTATCCTGTTTTATATGTGGGTAAATAATTCAACAATCTTAGACAAGTGGGAACTTTTGTAAAACCTTTATTGTAGTATCTGTATGTGAGAAATCTATACAGTAAAAAAATGCAATAGTTGCCTTCACCAATAGATGAGTGAAACAATGCATTTAAATTGTTCACACAAGGAAGCGAGTACTAGAGAGTGCCATAAAGTTCATATTAATACTAAAAGAACACTGATAAATTGACAGTTGGTAATTTTATATAGCATTCCACTACTTATTTAATGGGGTTGGATATTGTAAATATTTACATAAGTTCTAGACTGTCTGTAAAGTGAACTAAGAAACTTTGGAAAATTGTATGAAAGATAATTTAGTAATGGAGAAAATTAGACCTAAAAATTTGAAACCAAGTTTATCGTCACATGTTAGGGTATGTCAAAAATGTTGAGTATACCAATTCTCAGGGCATTTTAAAAAAATTTCCAGAAAATATAAAAATATAGACAGTTACTCAGTGTGTGTTTTTTAATAGTTTACTCAACTTTATTGTGTACCAACAGGTTTGAACATATTGAATAGATTTTGAATTGTATTACTTTTGAAAACATGGATTTTATTGATAGAGTAAGACCATGATGGTCCAATCAGGAAATGCATAAAAAAATAGGAAAAATAATTTCTTGTCCTTAAAGAAAAAAATCGAGTTTATTAAATTTTATTAAATGAGTTATGAACCACAGGTTAATGTTGAATAAAGGGAACGTAAGATTGGTATTAAAACCACAGTTCTTAGATCACTCTAGGGAAACATTGGCACATGTGGTTAAGGGACTACCTTGTAGGTAATGAGCCTCATATTGTGAATTTTAAAATTTACTAATAAAACATTTATACTGGCTGACCCTTGAGTTGAGTGATATAACAAAACAGTTCAAGTTCAGTGTATTATTATGAAAACTTTTTGCCATTTTAGAATCATGGGTATACAGAACCATCACATGTATCTTAACTCCTTAAACTCGAGCAGATGCTACCATTGTTTGGCCAAAAATCCTGATTTACCCATCAGATGGTAACAGCACCGAATAATATTTGTCTCTTTGGCTGAAAATTAATCCAAACCATATTATTATCCACCTTTTATATATAGACTGGAAATTTTATAAGGTATTGTGATAATTATTAGAACATCATAAAAATAGTTCCAGCAGAACTCGCAAAAAATGATGGGTTTAAAGAGTTAATAGATGAAGTAACCCTTTCCCTCCTGCTATGCAGATTTACTGTTGCTTATTAAACAGTTACACTTGTTCTATAACAATATTTACTAAGAGCTGTTCTGTTGAACTAGTATTTATTTTTGAGGTGTTGTATGGTGGTCGTGTGCCTTAGTTAAAACAGTTTAAATGTGGGTCTGTTACACTTTATACTTGTATACATTTCAAATTTTTGTTATTCCAATATATAATTTAAGTAGTCCAAATCCCTTCTAGAATTGAACAAAATGTATCTATTTTGTAAATACTTATGAACAAATAGATTGCCTCATAGTTGGACAACTTCAGAACTACTTGTGTATGTATGACCATGTTTTTATATACACATTGATATTTATAGGATGATGTGGGCAGCAGGTGGCTTGGCATCAGTCTGCAGTATTACTTACCCAGCTATAAGTTCTTTTGTTTCAACACATGCTGAAGTTGACAAGCAAGGTAGAATCACATTTTTACTTGTTTTGTGGTAGCCTCAGATGTTTGTTTTTATAAGCAGCCTATACTATTACTTGTTAATATTTATACCATTAAACTATTAGACAAAATACTGCAATAAAATTGTATCTTTCCAAATGCCCTGTTGAGTCATACTGATTAACAGGTACGTATAATTTCTAGAATTAATCTTCAGAAGAGTATAAATTATCACTAACTAAGCCAATAGACTAGTAAGTCTTTTCTGTATCAACTTGTTTTTAATGGTATGAATTTAAGTCAATACTAAAAGCTTATGTATATGTAAATTTATATATATGTATACACAGTTCTAACAAGTTAAACTAGTTATACAAAAATGTATAACCTTTCGGAAGATCATATTTATATTGATACAATAATTTACAGTATTTACTATTACAATTCACATAGTAATCAGGCTTGAAAGTTTCCTATGAGTGATAGGCCTCAATTCTGTCCTAGAATGTCGATCATGCCGTGCTACAAAATGGTGATAACCACGAACTGACTGCATGTAGGGAATCGGCCAATAATCATTTAAGAAAGAAAAATTGTAAATGGACTATTCAAAATTTGTTGTTTACTTAGTTGATTCTTTGTCTACTATATTCATTGTTGTGAATGGAAGAGGTAAAAGTTAGTATGGTATAAGCAAATTTTGAGAATATAATGAATGGTTGAATAACTTGGTTTATAAGGTACTCCATGATTTTTGTACACTGTTAAATTTAAAACTCAATAACTCACTGATCAATGTTGCTGGCCTGCCACTGGAATTTAATTGAAGTCTCTGTCACTATGATTACTTCCACTTTCGTCTTTACTTTCTGTCGTGACTTTTTTTAGCTCCTTTCTAATTTTTGCTTACTGTTTTCTCATAAAAATAATAGTTTGTCTGCAGCTATGTTTACATTACTTTGACTTAAACTTTGCATAACTTTTTTTTGGTGAAAACAAGAATATTTATACATGTGTGTGTGTCGAATTTATAGCTTACATTGGTGATCATTCAGTGAATTGATTCAATTCACTCAAAATTTCCCACTATACATAATCTGCTTCATATATTTTGTGTAAGTTGGTTTTCATTTAATGTAGTCTAAGCAATTAAGTGGTTTTATTGACTTTTTATATTTTTCATGCATCCTCAGAAGACCCTTTCTTTATAGTATGAAATTTTTGCCTGAATAAGTAGGCTTAGGAAAATTGGAAGGTGAAGTTAGAATAAAGCTTATGAATATAATTTCATAAGTCCTATTACAGCATATTTACTAATTTCATTCATTTCTATCAATCATAGCAATAAGTTTGTAGATGTGGTTTTGTCACTGTCTTAGTTACTGAAAATTATAAAAAGAACCTAGTGTATATCCCATCAAAAATGACAGAGCAAGTACTACCACCCCTACCCCATAGTATACCCTAATCTCACATTTCATATCTAACTGAAATAAATATATTTTGTGAAATCAAGCTTGACCAACAAAGAGACAGAAAAGTGCAGTTGAGGCAAATATTGGTAAATTCCTTTGTGAGCCAATCAAAATTAATATAATTCATGAAATTAATTTGTGCCATATTCATAGAATATATTTTTTTCTAATCAGTTAGATTAACAGCTTCTAATATATAGAAAGCCAGTGCATTTTGGTAACACTACATTCCAACAATGGCTTTTATGTCATATTGCTTAGCAACGAAAGTATAACCTAATATTGTTGTTGTCTATTTACTGAAAGTATAAAATGAAATGTATAGAAAACAAAACTGAAAAATATTTGTTGATTAGTTAATTTAGAGCCTGTTGATTAAAGAGGTTTGTTTATTATTAAAAACGTTGGTGATATGACATAGAATAACTTAATTCAGAAATAATTTAAGTTTAAAATTGAATTGATATTTTTACTTTCATGATAAATTTTATATACTTGGCTCTAGGCTAGGTGATCCCACACTATGTCTTTACTTTAGGCTTATTAAACTAACACTCACTACACTTGTAAGGTTTCTTGGCCCCCTTGCACCTCTATCACTAAATTCGTAATGGGCAGACAGTAATTAAACTATTCTATCTGGATAAATGAATTTTGGCTTTTATGACTTCTCCTATTTTGAGAAATCAAGCATGACATGACACACACTGGCTTTTGTATAGGTTAGATTATAAAACTATATAAATGACATATAGTCATAAACAAGATATTGAGAGAATTATAAGAAAGTGTTTCATGAAAAAGCTCATTATTAAAGTAACCAGTGAGCTAGCCTACTGTTTATACTGTTAAGTTCTAAATGACCAAACCAACTTAAGCTCCTCCACACTTGTCTCAAGGTGAATGTCAAGGTTACTTCCAGTTCTTTGGTTAATACATATATAAATCTGTTTACAAACCATTTCAGCCTGTACCTGATGATGCCTTTACCAAAAAAAAAACATGCTCATTAATATATGAGGTATTTGTGAAACATACAATTGTTTTTGGGTTTTTTCCTCAGTTTTGTAAATGTTACTTCTATTTCACACCAAGTATTTTGCAATGTGAGCGCAGTTAAACAGTTATGTAAAGTGAAAAATGCTAATGTGAGTTGTTTTTTTAATACAAATTTCCAAAAGATATCTTAATGTGTGGTAAACTGTAACAGCATTTCTTGTTTATAATAAAAAGGTTGGACCACTATGACCCCTCCTCCTTGTAAAGAGGAATGAAACGACAAGTAACACAAGAAACTTTTTTCCTGATTAACTCCACATAGGTTGTGGAGTTAATCTGAAATGTCAAACTGATGTATTGAATGATTTCATTTTGTACACAGTGGACATACCCATTGTGAAAATATTGGCCTTTATGTAGATATGTATGTATTGTATTAACCTCGAATATTGCCACTTTTTAACAGATGATATTAATCATATCAGGTGTAGCTCAGGGAATGATAACAGGGATGAGAGGATTGTGTAATGGTCTGGGACCTGCTGTATATGGTTTCATCTTTTATCTCTTCCACGTGGATCTAAACGATGAAGCTGACCTAGAAAAGTCTGCTTTTAACTCCCAAAATAGGATATCCTCCAACTTTACTGGCATGCTAAATCCAGAAGATACTCAGGTATTCTTTATTTAATTTTACAATACATGAACTTAATAATCTCATTTTAGCTTATATTTAAGGTAAAAGGTATTTTAAGATGCTGATAAAGTGAAAGATTTTATGCCTTAAATTATCAATAAAAGTGAGGTATTGAACTGAAGAATTAATGCTTTCTAGTTATCATAAATTTTGTTTTATTGTGATTTATTTAATGGGATGATCTACTGTTACTTAAGCTGGTATACAGAGTTAGCTACAGTATTAACTTAGTTATTTTTTACTTGTGATCTGTTTAGTTAGCTTGCTTTCATCAGAAGTTAATGATAAAATAATTTTATTTGTAGTAACATTTAAGATATAATTAATTGCATTTGTAAGTAAAAATGGTTTTCACTCAAGTTATTACTAGTTTTATATGAAACTTGAATAATGTATAGAGTAACTTTTGCAAAGCTTTTCAAATCAAGATATATATGCTAAAAAGAGAGAAACTGTTAGAATGAAAATGCAAATTGTTCTGTTATACAAACAAATTCTAAATTTTCAATAACACAGGTTATTAGTATTAAGTATAAAACACTTTGCGTAAAAACTAACATTTGTGGGAACCTAAATTGTACACATTTTTGAACAACAACAAAAACATTTTGTAGCTGGTTCCTGGACCACCTTTTGTGTTTGGAGCCTTCTTGGTGATGGTAGCCCTTCTAGTTGCTGCCTTCATTCCTGACTCCCACCCATTTGGTAGCAGTACCCGGTCTCCCTCGCATCATCGAACCTCTCCTCCTTTTTCTCCAGCTGCAAGCACGAGCACTAGTGATCCCTTTCTTCATGACATGGTCCATAAGCGGACAGATGGAAGTCAACCCCTTCTACAAGACACAGAACCTTTATAGCCTGTCATTTTATATACATTAAATAAATTTGTCTTCTCTGTCATTCATACTCCACAAACTGTGTTCATGAAGATAGACAAGGTTGTGCTGTACATAGTCATGAGAAGTCATTATAACATAAAGAATGTTTATTAGGTAAAAATGGCTTTAAAATTATGAAATATTACATGCTAAATGTATGTAAGAAAAACTTAATTTTTAGTAATTAAAGGAATGATAATTATTGAACTCATTCATAATTACTGCTTAAAATTCATACTCAGCTTTCATACGTTCATACAAAATGGATATGATACTGAAATGCAAGTTCTTTATTTATTATGGATATGGGATATTGAAACAATTAAACTTAATATTATAATGTAGAATATGTAAATTTGGGTATATTTGCATAAAACTTAATTGATCTTTATTAATAGGTTTCATATAATTATTAAATATGTAACACCTCAAATTAGCCTTAAAAAAACTGATGTTATTCTTCCATTCTCTATTTTTCTCTGTAACTGATAAAAAGAGCCATCATATCATTATATTTGTTATTAGACTGTAATATTTGTTTTTATTAAGGCTGAAAGGCACAAGGATTCATTCCTAGTTCTATTGAAAGATCACTTTTGTCAAATTCTTTTGTTTTACAAGCCAATTAGGTTTTAGAAAAGTGTTTCAGCTTACTGTGGATGTTTGTTTTTATTAGGTGAAAGATATGTGGCATTATCCAGGAATATATCTTGTGCCTTCAAAACATCTGTTAAAAAATTCTAAATCTGCATAGGTATTATTATTATAATATATGAAGAAGAATAATTAATTACCATAAATAAGAGTTGTATTTTATACCAGTATTTTTCTTAGTCATAAATTTGATGATGTTAAGATTGGTCAGTTTGAGGTGAGGTTTTTGGAGATTTTATTTCAATCTTAAAATTATATGATGTAACTACTGATATAGCATGACCTTAATAAGTTACTTTTAAAATTGTAGGTGTAATTAGAAGAAAGACACAACTTATCCAAAACATCTAGTTGCTTGTTAGTTGTGGTGTAAGATTGGTTAGCTGGAGTCTGTTGTATTTCTCAGCATCTGCTGTTTGCAAGAAATTTGTGAAACTATAAAATTTTCTAATCTTTTGTTATTCCAGTATTTTGAAGTTGCACATACCAATTTTATCTTGAGAACCTGATAGTCATAGCCTGTAGAACGAAAAGAAAGTAACTACTATATTTATATACTTCATCAAACCTAAATGTTAACAAGGAAGTTTAAATAAGATTGTGTCCTGGAGATCTGCATGATATAAACACTGTTTATTTTCATAAAGTAAGTTAATGTTATAAATTGAACATTTAATTGCACATTTTGTGATACATTAGCCCTCCATATACAAGCTTGGTCATTTTTACCAGCCATACAACCACCTTGAAACTGTTCTTTGAATGTAGTAAGTATATCTTCACAAAATTTGGCAGACTTGTTGTAAACATTAAGAGTCATTTTTTCACCAAAAAATCAGATTTGCTAATTAAATATTTTTACTGAAGGTTTGTCTGCGAATTTGTGGAGTCCATGTGTGAGGTGATTTTCATGTTAAAACTAATAGTACTTTTTTTCATTTTACAGTTTCAGATTTGATGTGCATAATCTGTAGAACCTTGAAAATTAATATCAAAAGTTTTTTCAGTAAAATGTTATATTGTATCTGTCATTTCCTCTACTCTAACACTATATAGACTTGGTCTATTTGATCAACCTTGTAACCACCCCAAACAATATGAAATAATCAAAATTATGCTTTTTTTTCTAGAATGACTGCAGATTGTAAGAGAAAATTAATTAAAATTCTTTATTCTAAACAGCCTCAGACTCTTAACAATTTACATCTGTTCTTATTTAATTTTATTGCTTTTTGAACCATGTCTAACTGTTGAACATGTACAAGCTAGAAACAACCTGGTGAACACATATCAATTAACACTATTAAATTACATAATGAGTGAACCTCTTACATGTATACCTTATAGAGAAATTAATGTATTTTTGTTATTTAATTTTTGTAATTTATGTTTTTTTATCTAACCTCATGAGTTTTCAGTTTTTACCTTTTAGTTACTTTTATAATGATAAATAAAAATATACATAAAAAAACAAACAACTTAGTACTTACATGTGGATCTTGTACTTTTGTGCAGTTGGAGATTGAAAGTGTCGATAAAAGTTAACCTTAATTTTTGTTTGGGTTGTTGTTAATACTTTCCAGAATTTTTATTTTATTTAGATGATTAATTTAAAACACAAAATAATAACACAAACAAAGCAAACAATGTCTTATAACTATTATTATTTAACTGGTTTTCTGACTAAGCCATGAGGGTATTTAAATAATTTCCTTAGCTGGTTGAACTGAACTTGATGATAGAAACTTGGAAGCTGTATACCGAATAATTCAAAAGCTGTTATAAGATTGAGCTAGCATTATACATAAATCAGTAAATTAAAGTTTTCTATTTCTATTGGTTATAAATAATGTAATAGCAAATGTCACTGACAGTCACTGACATTTTGTGAAAAATTGTATGTGATAGAGTGTGTGGGTTTAAATTTATGGTTTATATCTAAGTAAAATTAAATGACTGGAGAATATAATATTAGTTAATGTCTTAGCAATATTTATAAGTTTGTAATGTGCATTAAAACTCAGAAGCTCAAATAGAGTTGTAAAGATTATATGAAATCTGAGGGCTTCAATACCCTTTGGCAGACCATAACCCATTGTGTAGCTAATTGTGCAATTTGGAATAAACAAATGTCACATGATATAAAGTAAAGGTTGAAAGTTTATTTAGATGTTTCCTTTTGAACTTAAGAAATTAAAGCTTATCAGATAGTTAATTTGATTTATGAACTATGTTTGATGCCAAGATAATGAGATTAATTAAATTTTGAATGTAACTCAAAAAATTTGAGACATGCATTTCTACCTACCTATATCCAGAAGGTTAATAAAGATGGAAGCTAATAAACGTAGTGAGAACTGTTTGTTTACAACTCCCAACTACTACTTTGTGCATTTCTAATTGGGTACGTTCGTGTGTGCATGTCTATTTAGCTTTTTTTATTTTTCTTATGAATCTGTATCCTACAATTTTTCCCTGTGTGTTGTAGCATGATTCAAGGTTGAAGACTAGGTCCGTGTTTAAACATTTATGAAATGGTTGTTGTTATACATAAGGATTTGTATTATCCACGGTTTTCTTTATTAGTTATAGAGCTGGTTTTCTCTTATTTAAGTAGAATTTTCTAGTGAGAAGACTGTTGACCTAACCCATGGATTATGTCCTTGGCTTAAATATTCGTATAGATGTATATTATGATCCATCAAACATATTCTAAATACAACTAAAAGTGCAAATACTGATTTTTCCACTGTTTAAGTATTTTTTTATCCATTAGAGAAGTTTATGTTAATCTCTTAAAATTTCATAAAGCTATGTGTTTGAAAAATATGATCTGATGAATTATAAGTCATTATAATATGTAAAAAAACTACACAGAAAACTTAATGTCAAGAGTAATGGACTTTTTAACCATTTCAACTGAGTAGTTGTTTTATTTGAGTAAAGTATTTGATGATTAACATGTTTAATATAAAAACTTGCCCTGTGGTAATAGGAGTTAATAATTTTAAAAAACAACCGGTGTTACCTCGGTTTTATTGTCTCTTATTTTGATGTTTGATGACCCCACTTTTGGCTATCTTTAATGCTAAGGCTATTGTAATTATAAGAAACCATTTTTGTGATATACTCACTGTGAACTCTAGGAAGTATATGGCAAATAGTAAAAGTAGAATTAGAATTTTTAAAAAATTGTCATATGAAGTCCTCAATAAATACTGATATATTAAAAATTCCTATTTAAGTGGTAGTGATAACATTAAATATCATGCCAGTAACTGCGTGTGGAAAAAAACAACTTAATTTGAGGATTAAATGTATAATTAGAATTAGCACAAATTCAGTATTTACTGTTACTGCTTAAGGAATGAAATTGTTTTTTTTTTGCTGACAAATATCTGCAATGCAACTAAATGATGATGATTTATTAAGTATCTTTTAATTTTCAAACTAACTACTGGATAAGGAAGTTTATAACACAAACAATGTTCATTATTATATGTATGTAATTTGACATTCTGCAGGTTTAATCCGCTTTTTTTTACCTTTTCACTAGTTTATTTGGTTTAATATATATATTTTGTGATGATGAAATTGTAATAAAGGATTTTAACTGATTGAATCAATGCTTAAAGTTATTTGTTTTTGAGTTTAAGACACTAACTCTTAATACTATGGTCTGGAATCTAGTATAGACGAGAGATGTTTACACATATTTTAGAAAGAGGGAGAATTTTTTTTCTATGTGGAAAAAACATTTAGTTTTTTTCTAGAATACACTTGATGATACTGAGGTTTAAAGTATCACTTACTGCAGTAATTCTCAGTCTGTGGCCTGCTGTCTCCCTTCAGATGATCCTGTAAAGGTTGGGTAATGACAGAAGGGAAGTGTATAGACACCATTGTAGTCCCCAAAAGAAACAGCTTGAGAACCACTGATTTGTAGAACAACTAGACATTCTTTGCCAATGTAGTTCCTTTTTTATAGTATCATTTCAAAAATGTTTGTTTATTGGTATGATTATTGAAATTCTATAGAGGATTTGACTGTGATATTAATTAAACATTATTCTTCATGCTGTAGTAACAGACAGACATATAGATTGATGTATTCTTAAGTATTGTTCTTCCAGTTTATTTACTGTGATATTAATATGAATTTCATATGATATCTGGACTATTAAGTCATAAGTTCCAGTATTTCTTGTAGCATCAGTGTACTCTAACTATATATGCAGTTTTTTATTTGTTTAGTATATATATAAACATCATTTTAAAATTCTTTGTTTAAAATCATTACAGAACTTTCTATATATTGAAGAAAACAGATGGTTTTTTAGTTCACCTTTTGTCAATAATGACTGACCTGTGATGCATAGGAAATTTCTCTTCAAGTTTGAAATTAGAAATTTTGCTGGAGGCTTATTTGGACAAATGAAAAAATACGAAATCTATTATTTTTTTATCACACATTCTACTGCCTACCATGTGTTCCAGTTATGTATTAAAGCATGATCTCGTTTTAATACAAGTTTGTTGTTATACAAGCTTTATTATGGGTACTTCTTTACCTTAAAATAATATTCTAGCAAATGAAAATGAAGTTTTGGTTTCTTCCAAAATTAAAAAAAGTGATAGAGACACTGAACGTTAACTTCATGTACCTCCATTTGTGTTTGTCTCTCTCTCTCTCTATATATATATATATACAGATAGTTATATAAAGCCATAGTTGAATAGTGTATTTCAACTAAATATGATCACCATACATGTAATAAACGTTTTTTTTTATCAAAGTATCTTAAGGTGACAAATTTCAGATGGGTGTACATTTTCTGATTAACATTTTACAAATTAAAACAGGAGAACGTTATTAGGCAAAAAATTAAATTTTT